ATCTTTGCTACAAACTCGGGTTTTCAACTCGGGCTTTCAATTGAATTTATAAAAATTATTTATCCTTCTCAGATCAACTCAATTGGCTTTATCAGGTTTTCACAAAGTGAATAAATTTTTAAAGTCGTCTTTTAGATTTTTCCGTCTCCTTTTGGAGTTTTTCTGAATATTTTCAGCGATTTTATGGGCTAAATTGAGATGAACAACACATCCTGCTCAAGTTTATAACTTACTCTCACTTCACTACACGATAGTTAAACTAAAAAAATCATGCACATTTTCTTTTAATGAACAGGAAAAATATTCCGACTTTCTTTGCGATATTAGAGACACTGCCGGATTGAAAACAAGATTTCACACAATCGTACTACCGTTGGATGTTAATGCCAATGCTAATGGAACTTATCTACACTAAATATTTGTCTTCTTAACGCTCCTATCTCTACCATAAAGCGTTCATTAAGGCCAAGGGAATAAAAATGAATAACTCGATGAGAAAATTTAACAACAATGATTCATTTATTTTTATATCTCTTCACTTGTCATTTTCACACTTTTTTGCACTTTTTTTTCACTTTTATGTCGAAAGAATAAAATTTTACATTAAGGGATTAATCACGTGCTAGACAAATCAACATGAGTCAACGAGGTGCACAAAAATCCGTGAATTAAATGTGAATTCGATGGTATTTTTTGCGGGAGAAATTGTTAATTAATTCATGGATTTTTGGGGTTTTATAATTCAGATCAATAGTAATTACATGCGTATATTTACATATACCTAAACGATTTCAACGTCGATCCATATTATCAATTAATTCAGCTCTCAATGATTGACTAACAAAAATATGACTTTATTTTTATTAAATATATATATCTATTTTTCATATTTTTTTACGTAAAATATTTAACGACGTAAAATAGTTTGTTGTTTATTTATATCTTGATCACTTCCATTTACAATTATCGTACATATTACAACAATACAAACGGTCAATATGTGTTCATTAATTTATATGTTAATCCTTCAACCATTCTGGAGTCATTTGTCGGAGTGCAATGATTCAATTCAGTTGTAAAATAGTATTTAAAAAGCATTAAAAAATGAACGTTCAATGAAAATTACGATTAATCTCGTTTTATTATTTTATAAAATAAATCGTCAGTATATGTAACTTCAAAAAACAAACAATTTCTGTTTGTTATTCCCGTGTAGATGGTTTTTTCAACATTCAGTAATAATATTGAACGATTCGGTAGCGAAGCGGTGAAGGGTGATGAGACGATTTTTTTTCCGAAAATGAGTTATTAAAGTAGTTCTACCCTTCGGCTGGGCTACGCTATACTTTTGGATATTTTCAGTTTCTAAATTTTTCAACTAAATTGCATGGAAAAAATTTGAAAAAATTCATACCCAGTCAGTATTATCTAAATTAAATTTCTCAAAATATCGATATTTTTTCAAACATTTTCCTCCTGTAAATAAATAATAAAACTTGTTTGCAAAACAAGTGGTGGATTATTTTTTATGAGGTGTCAAAAAAATTCTCGATTTTTGGCTCTTCTGTAAAATCACGATTTGTCGACTTATCACTCTTTACTGCTTCGCTACTGAATTATACCCCCAAGTTAATCACCAATTAATATTCTCAATTGTCATCTTGCGAAATACCCGAGAGACACATTGACTCAAGTGTCATTTCGGTGAAATATATTATGGAGATCGGTAGCTCGATGGAATGTGTAAAAAATAAACTATGAATAATTTGGGACTGAGTGGATTATCCATAAATCACACTGGGAGATAGAAAACTATCAGTTTAATATTTTTACATCATTCTCTCCAGAAGCTTTTGTTGGGGGAATAGAAATACTCGTCTTTCCAAGACGAGGGGAAGTTATCTCTAATCACGACATGATTGCCCATGCCCAAGAAAATAAAATTGAAAAGGCAATTGAAAAAAATTAACCTTGAAATTTTGTTTCTTGTTTTTTTTTGCGAATTCTTGGGAAAGTTTTGAATAGCAATAAGGATTCTCCCAAAAAAGAATAGTATATTGTGCACCAAGGGCGAAAAGTCCATCCTAGGGCGGAAAGTATTCCCTTTATTCCCGCTCATCAGAAAGCAAAATGCAAGCTTTTCTTTGCAGGCGTGTCACCCCTTGATTGGTCACCCTATGAGGGAAACGCCGCTATGAAGTGGTCAAACGATTCAAGTCAATTCCATTCTAGCGCCGGTTCTCGATGAATATCTCAAATTCCACAGGAGTTAGCAAAATTTTCCTATAAATCTTTTTTGTAAAGAAAAGTGAAGGCTATCGAAAAAGATTTTACAAAAATTTCGCTATCTCTCTTAAATTCCGAGTTATTCAACAAAAACTCAACTGGGAGCTGAGTCGACTTAAACCGATTGACGACTTCACTCCGGAACTATTAATCTGCACTCAACTTTCTGTCCATTTATTTTGGAGCGTGTTTTTAACGATTTTCCGGCTGCCGTGACTCGAAGAAGGAACGGCAGCGCGCAAAACGTCATAATTTTTCCGGTGCTGCAGATTTAGTTGGTGGAGCTGATCTCGGTGCGCCATGAGGTCCAACACTCGTGCTCCTCTCGAGGGCCTCTGGTTTACCACTAAATGCAGCCGGCTGCGAAATGGCGCGTTTCGTCGTTCTAAAAGAACTGGAATGCAATTGATATTTCGACTGATTAATAAAAAATTAGTTGAGATATTTTATTTTTTAAAAAATAGAGAACGAGTGTCAATTCTAGACATGAAACTCTCGATTTCTGAATGTTTTAATGAAAATAAGAGAATTCAACTGGATTTTCATCCACTGAATTCCTTGAATAATGTGAGGCATGGACAAAAGCAGCTGTGCGTCATTGTTTATCGCTGTTGGCTGTCAAATATTCTCAACACTCTCATAAATAACAACAAACAAAGCAGAGGTGACACAGATGCTATTCAAGGGTACTGAAGTGTCTCAAAATCTGAAAATTTGCAAATGATTTTTCTCAGTGAAAACATTTCAATTCAATGTAGCAACGTTTAGATCCTCCAATTGCGTGGAATAACTCGATTCAAATGATCCAAATGAGAAGTTAAAATTAAACATTCGTCAGGAATTGAGCGATTTCTTTCGGCCAGTGAATTTCGATGGGGCTAATGTGGTTGTTCCACTCAATTGGCGATTCATTAAAGCAGAAAAATGTCGAAAGCACAAGCTGAAATGGCGCAATATGGCGTCGTATCGAAGGTATCGGTAGTAATTTGTGTTGGAAATGGTTGAACAATTGATCTTTCGATTGCTTTCAGGTGAAATCCACATTGAGTCTATCTCCACTGGCTCGGGAATTCTTATTTTAAGGGGGGTATCATGTCAGTTCTCTCATTCACATCTATGTGCTGATCGTGCATTGAAGACAATAGGGCATTTTGGAAGAAACGTTTAATATCAATTTTAATCGTGCATAGCTTGCAGCCCCAGCAGAATTTCCGTACCCATTCCTGCGTTTTTTGAGGTTTTTTTTTTTTAATTTTGGGACTTGGCTGACTCATTTACATTCCCCTAGACACTGAAAGGACAATCAACACATCTAGGATTCCTAAATAATCTTAAGAAGATCCAAATTCGTGATGAAAATTGCGTGATTATTTGTTTTGTGCAGAGAGGAATATTCATAGACAAAGAGTTGGTGAAAATTGTCAAAATATTAATGTAAAAGCAAGGCATTTTTTCAATGGATCTCCTTAATTTAAAAAACAATAATCTCCACATTTCTTTCCAATTGTTGCAACGCGATAATTTACCTGCAAATCGATATTAATCGGTGTTTTTTTTTTTTCGATATATTTTTTTTTTATCTCAAAATTGTGATAAGACGAGGTTCATCAGGAAGCGAATGATTGATAATATTAAACAGTCTCGCCGACAGCCGTTTACGATTATTATTTAAATCGATACGCAAGACTCCGACATATCCTCATAGCAGGTACCTGTAATTAAATAATGGTTTTTTTTTCTATGTACATGACAAGCGATTCAACATACCTTCAACTAATTCAGGAGTTGGACTAGAGTTATTGGAACAGTCTCAGTTCTGTTAGGTTTTGGTTACTGCTGGGGGGAGGGGGGGGGGGGGCTCCTACCATTTTCACTTCTACTTCTTATTTTTTTTTTTTCATTCTCTAGGAGAAATGGTTCAGGCTTGTGTTGCGAGAATGGGAGAGAGATCATCCGAGGCTCATCAGTTTCCTCAACTTCATTTGTCTTCATTTATCTTCAATCAAACAGCTGGAAATTGATATGAAGCTGAAACGAGCGAAAGATTTGCCAGTGAATCTGGTTGCTTCAGCTTCATTAATTCGGTAGCGAAGTGGTAAAATGGTACAAGTCAATTTTGACTGTTGACCAATTTTCAATGAATATCTCGGAATCTAAGGGAGATGGCAAAATTTTTTTTGTAACTGTTTGAGATGGCGATCTAACCCAGGATTTAACCCAGTGTCTTATATGAAGATCAACATTTTCATTGCAATCAAAGATTAAGATCTGATTTTTTTTCATTAGATGTGAAAAAATCAAGAATTTTTTTGACACAAAAAATAATCCACCGTTTTGCAAACAAGTTTTATTATTTATTTATAAGAGGGAAATGTTCAAAAAAATATCAATATTTTGCGAAATTTAATTTAGTTAATACTGACTGGGAATGAATTTTTTCAAATTTTTTCCATGAAATTAAGTTGAAAAATTTGAAAACTGAAAATATCCAAAAGAACTCAACTGTGAGATGAGTCGACCTCAACCATTTTACCACTTCGCAATTGATAGATTGAAAATTCTAAATGACGATATGAAGTATCGGAGTCCAATGCTCATCCATGATTGAGAGTGCGTAAAAAAAATTGTTCAAGTCTCTATATCAGGGGACAACAGAGAGCGAGAGAGACAGGAGATAGATAATTACCAATGTGAGTGATTTAATTGTAGGTAGATAATAGGCGTGTGTTAGATGTGGGTAAGGTAGACTTTCCGCTTTAGATACACACTGTTGCGAGCTGGTGAGCTGACAGCTGTCTCGTTACTGGAACAGAGCCGGTGCTCGTATTTTTCGCGTATTTTACTGAAAATTAATACAGAAAAAACAAGGGATACTACCCCTACTAATAAAGAATAGTAGTACCTCCTAATGAAAATAATGAAGATGACAGAGGACATTTCATGAACAATCGATGATTAATACACGTAATCACAGTAATTATGATGATAAATGGTAACGAAAAATTCATCTACATTTGTTAAATAATGAAATGACAGAATATGGTCTTGACGAATGAAAAATCACTGTGAAGGAAAGAAAACACGAGAAAAAGCAATTCAGTACCGAAGTGGTAAAAGGAGATAAGTCAATTTGACTACTGACCAGTTTTCAACCAATATCTCGAGATCTAAGGGAGATAGCAAAATGTTTGTTATAACCTTTTTTGTGGAGCCGATTGAGTGCTACAACAAATGTTATTACAAAAATTTCGCTATCTCCCTTAGATTTGGAAATATTCCTCAAAAACTCAACTGGGAGATGATTCGACTCATCTCCGTTTGCCATTTCACTACTGAATTGTGAGAGAGGAAAGGAAAAGTAAAACATTGAAGACTACCTTCTGCGTCTCAGGGATGCGTTGAGCCCAGGTAGGCCAAATTGTCCTCTGGGGATGACCATTCTGGCATTGCCTTGAGCTGGTCTTGATCCACCGTGAGATTGAAGTTGGCTCAGATGAGCAGCATAGCCCTCAATGAGAACAGTGCAGAGTGCCTGTTGTTTCTTCGATACTTTTCCAACAATGATAATCTGCTTTGGCTTCAAATTAATCGCCGTGTACACAGTGATGTCTTTGGAGCTTCCATAAGCCTGATGGATAATGACGCCATGATTCTCCACGAGATTATGGAGATAAGCTGCTTTGTGACCGAGGGGATCAGTGGAGAGGCCATCGGCGAATGACACGAGACCGTGTGGAAAATTGTGCTGTGACAGCCAGGACACGACCTTTTGCTGCTGCATGTCAGGGCGAGCTGTTATGTAAATTATCAAGTAGCCTAGCTCCTGCCAGTGCCTGACCACGTCAACAGCGCCTGCTCTCACTTTGGGATCTCTTCCGGTCACTGACATACTTGCGGTGAAGGAACCGTCAATGCTGAAGACCACGCACTCTGTGTTGGGGGGGATCACTGCCATGAAGAAGTCGACCGACGTGTGGTCACCTCTCACCACCATTTTTATGGGGTAGAGTCCGAAGGACAGGGCCTTCTCGTCTGGGATCCTGTAGGTTATTCTTCCTGTTTTGTCGGTTACCTCGGTTGAGAGGTAGGTCCACTCACCCGCTGGTGCGTCCTTCATCACGTGAATGTCCACCTTCTCACCGGTCAGAGCTATCACGTCTATGGGACTGTACATAAATCTGGCAATCAGAACTTGGGGAGTACCTTCTTTCACTATTACGTCGTTTGCTCGGTGATTGGCTGATACATTCTGCAATTTTTATAGTTTTGATTATTTTAGCTACGAATACGCGAATATGTGGACGTCGGTGTAATCGACAGTTTGAATTAGAGTTGAATTTGGGGAAAGTCAATTGTTAATATTAGTCAGCAATTTTTTTATTCTGAAAATAACTGTCATTTTTTCTCATGACTTTTTTTATAACGCTCTATTGGCTCTACAAAAAAGGTCATGACAAAAATCTTTCTATCTCTTTTAGATTCCGAGATATTCGTCAAAAACTAGCCAATAGTAAAAATCGACTTAACCCGGTTTACCGCTTCGCTACTGAATTTGAACATTAATTTCATAAGAGCCCGTGCACAAGGAAAAATTAGTTTACTCATTTCTGCCGAGACTATTGCGATTAATTTTTTAACGTTAGTAAAATTAGTTTTATATGTTCTGTTGTCAGCCGAAAAAATTACAGAATTTTCCCTGACCATGAGCAAAAAAAAAGGTCATGACAAAAATCTTTCTATCTCTTTTAGATTCCGAGATATTCGTCAAAAACTAGCCAATAGTAAAAATCGACTTGACCCGGTTTATCGCTTCGCTACTGATATGATCAAAACCAAATATGACACTTACTGTTTGCAAATATGACACTTACTTTGAGTTTAACTGAAGTTCGCTTTCTATTCCATTTCTCCCTGGGCTGACCTGGACGGAAACAGGCGAGTTCTTTCTCCTCACCACCCAGCATTGGCAGATCGAATCTACCAATTTGCCTGAGAATAAAGGCGATAACGTCGGAAGACTCCCAGTAGCTGGCGTGAAATAAATGTGGTAGTGCATTTGTTGGAAAATTTGCAAGACCCTCGGGACAGTACAGGGCGTAATCTATTCTTTTGTTGCCCCACCATTTCTGCGTCACTGCAAAGGGGGAATAACAGAGTTGTCCTCCCTCAGGAGGTTTTGTCTCGTTTTTTTTTCTTTTTTTAAATTTTTTTTTACTTATCATGGGAAACTCACGTGATGAGACAGCCTGGAGAGGTACATTATCAATCAGACCAGACATTGTGCTCTGAATCGATATATCGGATAATCGACGGAGATGTTGAAGAGGCGTCGTTGGGGCATTCAATCCCTCCGCGAAGAGCTGGGGATTTGTTTGAATGGCTTCCACTAATCAAAAGATGTATATATATATTGATAATTATTATTTCAAAGGCCTACGACAATGGCGGAAAATATTATACCTATTTATGAGAATCAGGGCAAGGGCAGAAAGGCATTGGGGCTTTTTATAGAAACTAAAAAAGAAACGCGCGCATAATTCAGCTGGTGGTTCACTGCATTTTTTATCCTTTCATTTATTTTTGAAAGTAATAAAAGTAACGATGAACAATCAGGGGAACATATAATTTAATGTCACGTTTGTGACATGACTTTTTACAGCTAGAATTATATTATTTCACGCTAAATGATTGCTTCATGTCACAAGATAGTTAAATTGTTCCGCAAAGTGTCCGGAACATAATCCATTCATTAGTTTATCTTTGCTGAGAATCTTGGATTATACAAATCTTTTTTCATGCCTTTGAAAGAAGATATTTTTTCAATTTTCTATTTCTATCATTATATATGTACTAGGGGGCATAACCCCCTCCTCGCTTCGCTCGCCAACCCCGGGGGGCTTCGCCCCCCCCCCGCTCGCTTNCCCCCCCCCAGTGCGATTGAAGAAAACGATAAAGTTCTCTAACAAGTCTTACTTGTGCCAAGAAAATTATCAAAAAAGAATGTTTTTGTGCCAAACAAATATACTAAACAAATATAATATATATATTTCACATGTATATATATCATCGGTGAAATTAATAAATTCTGTCCTTTTATGGAGACCGATTATTTAACAAAATTGAAGATAATTTATTGAAAATGAAAATTTCTTTATAGATTCTTTTACTCTACTTCGCTATTCACTTCAATCATTAGTCGAATTCTATTTCTTCATTTCAACAAATGAATAGATCAGCGCGCGCATAGATCTTGTGAAACAATAATAATGATATGATAGCAATCTTGTAACTTGGGGATAAAATATTTGTTGATAAATTTTCCTCTGAATATTTCCATCCTGAAAAGGCACCGTCTGGTGAGAATTATCCGCCTCTTCAGCCAAATATTTCGTTGCTGTCGGAGGCAGAACAGTTATTCATGTTTGAGACTTTGAAATTCCAACCAAATAAATTCTTTTTTGGCAATTTTCAACTAGCGATTTTGTTGGCCCAAACAAGACTTGTTTGACGTGTTTGTTTTTCTCGCAGTTCCCCTGGAACTGCAGGGGGTATTCAAGGTCAGGGGGTTTATCCAAAAATGAATGAAGAAGGGGTTCCCCCAGGTTTAAGTTTTTCTCAGGTTTATCTATAGTTCATCTCTCAAGTTCAATCCTTTTCGCTTCCCCCTTTTATTCAGTATAACGAATGACGACGAATATACATATTACATATTCAGAAAATATTTTTTTAAAAGTCATATAAAACAAAGATTGATATAATCTAGGATCTTAAGCAAATATTATCCTTGTCCCTACCCTTAAGGTCATCCCCGGCGAAATAGATTGCTGACAAACAGGTGACACCAATGTTTTAATAACAAAAAATCTATACATGATAAAGTGCATTCTTACGTAAGTGATAAGGCTGTCCATTCCCCAGTGGGTATTTCTGATACCTGGCGACGTTGACTGGAGGCAAAAGTGAACATCGAGCGGAGATAAGGGGCTCCAGTCGAGCGGCAACAGGATCAGTTGGGTGGAAGAGATTGTAAACTTGATTGACCAGAGGCCTCTGTATGTTACTCTTTTCACCGGTCGATGAGATTTTTCTGTACGCGAGAACAAGGGCCAAGGGGCTACCGAACATGAAGAACTCGCTGACTTCGAAGTCCAGTTTGCAGTGGCCAGAGTTATCACTGGTTAAAACCAAAGGACAGATTCCATCAACATTTCGAGAAGTTTCGACAGATGAAAAATGATATTTACCTCGTGGACGATGATCTTCTCCTGGGTGTGGGGGCCGTCAAATGCCGGCCGTCCTCGACGCCCCCATTCTCCCCAGTTTGATTGTCATTATCGAGAATGCTATTCTCACTTCCATGCCTCGACTGATACTGAACTGTTCGGCAAAGGGCGTCGTAAGCGAGGATTGAACCGACAGAATCCCCGACGAAGGACACCTGTCCCGCAAAGCCCTTGCCCTCATCGCTCCTGATGAACTCGTGGTAAATCTGGTTTGCTCCGATCACCACTTTGGACACAGCCTCCTGATACTCAGGTGCACAACTGGCAAGGAGTGGTATAGCTCCTATGGGAATGGTGTCGTGGGTGACTTGGGGGGTGTCAATGCAGCTTGGAGACACGTCGAAGGAGTAAGGGCTCAAGCTGGAGAGGATCCCCAGGCCATCGGTGCAGATCGACGGACAGGGAACCAACCTCACGGCAATGTGGCCCACCATGCTCGGGTAGTGCTGTCTCATGACTGATTCGAAAGCACCTCGAAACGTCGTTATGTCGGATTTTTTGGCTGTCAAGTCGACATTAGCGTCCAGAACACTTCCGGCGTGCATCACTATCAGAAGAACTGTCGTGCGACACGGCTGGTGGGTGGGGGAGTGACTCGGCGAGGGCGGACACGAGACGTCTATACTCGCTGAGCTCCTTATGTGCAGTCTTCTGGGATTCCCCTCGCTCGTTACTCGCTGCAGGTAGGAGTGGGAGAAAATGCTGTCTTCGTACTTGTCCGAGGGAGGCGCTGTTGGCGACGTTGAGTCCTGGTCCTTCTCCGCTAGAAGATCCATTGAACTCCATTTCGCTAGGGAGGTATTGTCCCCAAAATCCTCTACAAGTACACACGTCAGTAAAAAAATTAGGGATTCTCGTGGCGCTTCGGAAGAGGCTAAAGTCAGAATGTAATTTCAAGCTTTCTCCTGCTGCTCTATGACTATGACTATTATCCTTTCTCTATCCTACCTCTTCGAATGATGGGTATGAGCATCCCAGCGGCTTTGAGTGTGCACAAAAACAATCATTCTAACGATTAAATAAAAATAATAAAATGAAGATAAGATCGTTCAGTTTTTTAGATGATGATGAACGGAAAATCACAATGCATGAATCGATGCGTAAAATTGAAATTGATTATTCATTCGGAGGCTAATGATAGTGGGTCATGCACGGTGCTGGTGAATCTTGATTATACCTTGACAATCGAAAAATTCATCCTCACTACCGGATTCGGATTCACGGACAATGCTCTCCATTCTCCAATTGGCTATCTGAATGTCAAAGGATTTAGCTGAACTTGGTGAGTGGATTGTTTGACTCGTGCGCTTCCAAGGTTTCTTGTTGAAGTCTGATTTGTCTTCTGGTGCTTTCGAACTGTTGAGAGATAGAGAGGGGAAATTAGAGGGGGATTACGATTCCTTTGGCGCCGCTATTTGACATATTTACCGTGCCATTTTTCTCGGGAGTACGGGAAAAATGAAGAAAAAATTACCTCAATTAGTTTCTGGGATATGGGCATTCCAATCCTTATCTTTCAAGATACGAACATTTCCATAAAGCTTCGTATAGGTACTTGACAGACCAATTCATGAACTCAAATTCTCACATTTGAATTCAATGATTATATTTACAACATCGAAACAACAAAACTCAATTTTAATGGAAATATTTTTGTCGGAGATTTTTTTGATTGAATTTTTTTTCTGAAAAAATTGCAACAGCAGTCGCAAAAATTCAGTCAACAAAATATGGAACAAAAGAATTTTCGTGACCCTAGCGACTCCTTTTTTTTATGTGACCCTTGCGACTTCGTGACCTCAGTGACTTCTTTTTTGTGACCCTTGTGACCTTACCTCAAGTTGGGAAAGCACCTGATACATAATCGGAAGGTCCAGGGTTCAAATCTCAGTCGGGGCTTTCGAATTTTTTCAGTAAATTTGTCTTGTCAACTAATATTGAGAATTATCCTGGGTCCCCTCATACCTACTCTAAAATCCTATCCAGCAATATCCAGTGACGCCACAAAATGTGGAACGCTATATAAACCGCCGTCTTCTGTGAAGAATCTCTATAATTCAGGAGGAATAATGTACATGGAAATTTTTCATTATTTTTCCCGTAATCCTGGGTAAAAATGACACGGAAAACAAGTTAAATCGAGACGCCAAAGGAATCGTCATCATGCCAGGCGCAAAGCTCTCGACTCCTCCGAGGAAGTGCTAATTAACACGTATATTTACCTTGGTAATTGTTGAGTTGGTGAGTCGTCGGGTGTGGCATCACCCTCAGAGCTCATATTAGTATTAATAATAGGAATGTCAGATGGCTTTCTGATGGACGGTGGACTCTGAGGATCCTCATTTTTCTCGATACTACCAAGTGTAGCAGCTAGGGTCTTAGCGACATCAGTCTGCTCCTGAGGTGTTGCAACAGAATTGCTCTTGCTGTCCTCGTCATAATTTTCGTCCTCATAGTTCTCCATTGATTCGCCTCTCTCAGCAGCCTCGAGGGCTGCCATCTTCTTCTTGAGCGCCTCCTGCGTCTGTCTCTCGATTTCTCTGATGTCCTCCATCGTCAGTCCTATCCACTCGTCCTGCCAGGCCCACGCCTGTCTGTGCGCCCTTACCATTGTTTTCCGAAGGGCTACGTCATGAATGAACTTTTCAAGCTTTGTTTGCATACCCCAGTAGCGAAACTCAACCCGGCACAATTTGTAGGCACACATCAGTGATTTTCCTGACGGCGTTGGCTGGCTCTTTCCCTTCAACAACCAGAGTTGCTATAAGCATCACTCGCGCAATCAGGCGAAGTAATTGACTTTTAAAACAGTTTTACTTGGGGGGCTAAAGAACAACGAGGATCATCTCAGGAGCGCGGAAAAAGTTCGTTTACCGGGCAATTGAGAATTTTTTCAAGAAAGCTAGATTAGACCGCGCGCGTATTCTCTACCTTACGTGCCTCAGGAATTGGTAGAAGCGAGATATAAATGCTTTCGGTGGATTTCCACTGATATTAAAAGTTAATGTGATTGTGGTAGAGATTATGGTGAAGTCCATTAGGTTCTTCCAAAGTATATTCACTCCATAAGAATCATTGGTATTTGGATTATTATTGAGAAATTTTGAAGACAGAAAATTTGCCAAACTCTCGAAGAACCAACGGGTTTTTTCGTTTTTTCAATTACCAAGGGAATGAGTATCGGGTATATATTATCATTTTCAATTCAAATTCTAAATCATGGGATGAAGTGGTAGTATTAAGCTTCGGTCGAACAGGGATTTTATTTATTATGAAAAATCCAAATTATTCTCTGTAGTTAAAAAACCAAAACAAAATCATCATGAATTTAGACACGATTGTGAATTATTTGTTTTTAAAAACAGTGTTGAAAATTTGCAATTTAGAATACTGAAATTTAATTATTTTCTCTATTTAGTTTAGTACGTATATATTACATTATATTATACAACATCATATTTATACTATATATATTATAGTATTATTATTATAGTTATTTCTGTAGTGAATTGGTAAACTAGGATAAGTGCATTTCAACTGAGGACAGTTATCAAGCGATATCTCGTAAATAAAAATAGATATCGAAATTTTTATTAGAACCTTTTTTGTAGAGGGAGATGTGGGCTACAAAAAAGTTTCTGACAAAAATTTCGATATCTGTTTTTATTTACGAGATATCGCTTGATAATTGTCCTCAGTTGAAATGGACTTATCCTAGTTTACCAATTCACTACAGATTTATTATAACAAAATTCTTGAAAAGAAAGGTATAATTTTTTTTAAATTTTTTATAAATGTATTATAGCATACTATATATACTATACTATATTATATATAATAGATTATAGTATATTATACGATAGTATAATGATAAAGAAAGAAAGCGTTAGGCGGAATAGATTGGCTTCAAAAAACGTTACATTGGATTGTTTTTTAAAGGGAAAATAATGGACAAGTTTTCGGGGTAATTAATTACCTTGACTTCTGACCAGTAATCCTCGAGCCAAGTCTCTCCCAGGGGCCCCCTACCACTCTTCTCGGAGACATACAACTTTGGATCCTCCTCTTTTACGTAATCAGCACCGACCAGCTGATCCTTGACAATATCAATGACATCGACTATTCTATTGCGTAAATCACTTCCAGAGAGTTTGAAGACATTTTCCTGGTGTCCCTTGTCGGGGTAGTAGTAGGTTTCAATTTCAACGGAGAATTTTTCAACGAAGGGACACGTGTAACGGGTCTTGGTGTAGGGATAGGCATTCCAGGCTTCCTCTTTGGCTGTCAGGGCTGATTTTGGGAGGAGGCTTTTGAACCAACCGGGGAGGTGGGAACCGACGTGGTAGATCTTGTGGGTGTACTGGCCATTGCCGCCTGGACCGTCTGTGTACGGCTTGTTCTCTATTATTTCTACACCACTGCCGACACCTTTGCTCTCCTCTCTCGATTTTTTCTGCATAAAGGGAGGTTTTTGGCATTTTTAACGTGGCAACAGTTGCCTGTCTCGAATGTTGGTTATCTCGATTGCTTTTCCGTCTTCATAATGTAAAATATATCACAATTTCCATTGGATTTTACATCACGCAGGAGTTCCTAAAAATTATGTGATTGTACAATTTAAAAAAGTAGAAAGAAAACTGAACATTTTCAATGAGCGTTTTTAGTAAAGATTAAGAAATACGTTCGATAGAGAGGAAATGGTGAATGGATAATTTATCATGGTAACTGAACATCTAACAGCCATTAGATGCATTAAATTATTAATTTGTAATTTCCTCCCAATTGGGTTAATTTCCCAATATTGCTAAAAAACGCTCTTTGAAAATGTTCAGTTTTTTCAACGTTTTTTTGATTGTACAATCATAATTGTGGAGACTCCAGGGCTATGTAAAGCTGAATAGCAATTGGAGATTATTTCAGATTATCAAAATAAAAAAAACAACCAAGATCACGTTCGAGATATAATAAATATACTCCATTTTCATAATGTAAAACATATCACAATTTCCGTTGGATTTTACATCACGCAGGAGTTCCTAAAAATTATGTGATTGTACAATTTAAAAAAGTAGAAAGAAAACTGAACATTTTCAATGAGCGTTTTTAGTAAAGATTAAGAAATACGTTCGATAGAGAGGAAATGGTGAATGGATAATTTATCATGGTAACTGAACATCTAACAGCCATTAGATGCATTAAATTATTAATTTGTAATTTCCTCCCAATTGGGTTAATTTCCCAATATTGCTAAAAAACGCTCTTTGAAAATGTTCAGCTTTTTTCAACGTTTTTTTGATTGTACAATCATAATTTTGGAGACTCCAGGGCTATGTAAAGCTGGATAGCAATTGGAGATCATTTCAGATTATAAAAATAAAAAAAAACAACCAAGATCACGTTGGAAAGATAATCCACCTTAATACTCAATACTCACCGCTATCATATACAACTGAGCAATTCTGTACTCCTCCACCGTCAACGGCAGTGGTATCCTGTACTCCTTAATCAGCATCTTGGCTGTCTATCAAACTTGCAGCAGAATCATCTCTGCAACAGCAAGAGAAAAAATCCTAAATATCCCGTCAATTCTGCGCACTCCAAGTCATCCCCAAATGATCGTCAAAAATAACCGCCAATCTTAATCGTAAATAGAAAATTGGTATTCCATTCACAAAGAAGACCTACAAGTCCTCCGTCCCAGATAAAATCTCACCTTGTCCCTAAACCGTCAAATTACCCCCGCCTCCTGGACAAATCCCAACGATATCGGTGGTCATTTGCATAATTCTTCGTTAGAGAAAAATAATCTAAACTCCCAAGGTATAATTTATCCCGGTGAATCACAGTGCTCATTCGATCACAGATAATTATATTCACTCGAATAATCACAAATTGTCGGATTGAACGTCAGCGAGGTACTGGAGCCATCTCCAGCATCACCATTTTTTTATATTCATTGTTTTGAATAAGAACAAAAAAAAAACCGTACGCCTGCGCGCCGATGGAGTCCCTCCGGCAGTTTTTTCTGGATTTAATGAGGGGGCGAAAAACTATGTTGTTGGAGTTGTTGAATGGCTCATTAGCCTCAGTGTTTTCTTCTTGAGGAAAAAAAGATGGGGCCGGGGAGCTGGTGAGACACTGGAGGAGGTTTAAAGCCCACCGGCAGTTGGGTACACAGTGGGTTACTATCATCCCTGATGATACTTCTAGGCTCAAACTATTCCAAATATTGATCGTTCTACGTGGAGACGAGGCGCGCAGATGCACGTTATGCCAAGGTGTCGCCAGGTACTGCACTCAACAAATGGTAAACAAATGATGAATAAATATGAGGGATAATTAATAAATATTTCCCTCGTCCAAGTGATTGAGACAGATCTAATTGACAGAGAGAATGGCTTGGGCCAGTTCTTCGGTGATGAATCCTTTTTTCATGAATATTTCAGGCTTGAGGCAGGAATGAAGGAACCAGAGGGAGAAAGTTTGGGATTTATTCGCAGGAGAGTACATGATTGATCGGTAGGGTTTTTTTTTATTTTTTTTTTTTATTTTTTTTATTTGGATTCGAAGGGATCTGGGACCTCGTAGCCGTCGGGAGGAACTGGGTTGCGCTCTGGATTGTGGAACAGCGTGTGGTTACCATCGCCCCATGGGAAACGCTTTATTGGAACAATTAATTGATTTATTTAGTTGATTGACTGGCGTAGTGTTTTATACGTGTGTTAAAATATTGAAAAAAAATGATGACAGGAAGTTGGTTGACTGTATGGAGAACAATTGTCAATGACGATAGCAAGACAGTAGGTCAAAAGCAATTGGAGATGAGAAAAAAGTGATGACTATGAGAGAATGGAAACAATTCTGGCAACTTAACAAATTTTGTAATTAGCATTCTCTGCATGTGCAGTATTATTGGGAAATATGCAGATGGGCTGCACTGCCCACAGGGAAAATATTATATTTTGAAAAATATATTTAAAAATATCTTGAATTGGCAGAATGAAAAAAAAAAATAAAAAATGTTAATTATTATTATTTTATTATTATTTATTATTATTCTATGTTATAATTTATTATTATAATAAATTATAATATAATATGTAATTATAACACTTATTCGGCGTTTATTTTATTTTTATTATTATTATTTATTATTATTTTATTCGTCAAAAAAATATATGAAAGATGTATTTCATGTTTTTGTTACATATTCTTTATGAATTTGACAAATATATGGAATTGGCCCATATTATATATTTTTGATGGGGGTGGGTTACCAGAATTTCTCAGCTTATTTTTCGGATGGAAGCCATTTAGTCATAATTCAAGCGGAGAAATTCACTCCAAAAATTGTGCAACTCAATGCCTCTCTCGTTGGCGATATTCCAGGGAATTAATCATTCGTACAGTTGGAATTAATGCAAAGGGGGGATACCTTAGTTCTCCTGTACATGTACTCCATGGGTTTGTATGGAGGTCTCGGTCGTTGGCGCTCCTTCTCACGATTAATCATCGTGACAACGATCATAATCAGAACCCCGGGAATAGCTCCAAATAGAGTAGCACATTTCCAGAATCTTGTTTTAGCCTCGAGTTCTGATTAAAACCCGTTGATTGAATTATATTAATTTTAATTACATGGATTGATTAGTGTGTGTGTGTGGGTGTGTGTGAAGAATTTAATTGGATTTTCGATGAGGAAATACCGTCGGTAATCGGACAGATGGGAGTGGGCGGTGGTGGACGGGGACACGTCGGCTCCTCTGGGGGACAAGGACACGGCGATGGGCATTGGGTCTCGCAGGAACTCTTAACTCTATTCCCTCTCGTTTCCGAATTATTGAAATTTTTCGACGGCGCAGATAGTCGCATACCTCTCATAACTCCGGGAATACGTGACATCTCAACTACCACTTGATTTGATTTAGTGCGCGATGGGATTTTATATTTTACAAAATTTGGGGAAAAATAGTTCATCCGTTTTTTGTTCATCGGAGTGAAGTCAGGGATATTGCGACGCCTTCGAAGTGTCTGAGCCGACAGATAGTGAGGAAATGGGAGAGGAATTGTACCACGAAGCCCGATGAATGTTCATATGTTTGAGTTTAAGCTTTTTACGTATTTTTTGCTTCCGAATGGAAGCCTTGTATTTGAGCGATTTTTAGATTTTATTATTTTTATGGCAAATGGGCTAGAATGTTATGAAACGTGGGGAAATTATGTTTTTAGGGTCATGCCTGTACGTGTGAGAACTTGGGTTTTGGCTGATCAGTTTTTAGAAAATTCAACATTAATACGGTGAAATTTGTGGATTAAAGTCGGAAATTTTGGCTCATGGTAGCTTGGTTAAGCTTCACTTTGGTGCGCAGTTTCAGCCCGATCGGTCCACTAGTTCCTGAGATATAACAAATTTAAATTTCGTTTTTTCTCAATATCTCAAAATCTACTCCACCGATTTCAATTTTTTTTTTTCAAAATACTCGTCTCGATTGCCTCTATCTAGATCAATCAAAATATATATACCCGTTCAGACGAAATTTGAAGATATTGCCGTTTTTTCGTTTTTTCATGAAAAATCTTGTTTACACGATAACTTGATAAAAAATGGAGATAGCGAGTTGAAATTTGGTATGCTTCTAGCTTNTGCCTCTATCTAGATCAATCAAAATATATATACCCGTTCAGACAAAATTTGAAGATATCGTCGTTTTTCCGTTTTTTCATGAAAAATCTTGTTTACACGATAACTTGATAAAAAATGGAGATAGCGAGTTGAAATTTGGTATGCTTCTAGCTTTTATCCTATTCTAAAAAGATCCTATTCTAAAAAGAACATAAGCCGTAAGCTGTAGCGTAACGCTCATTCCTCGAATTTCATTGGTCGAACATTCGGATCCTCCCGCACGTGTTCGACTTCGATCGGCTTTCGGTTTTCGTGTCACGATTTGTCTTTAACACGCGCGCTCAAGCGCGCGCTCGTTCTTGTGGAAAAAGTGAAAACTGAAAAATTTTTTTTTTCACCGGGGGCCAAAGTGTCAGATCTTGGATTTTTTCAGGGGGAAAGTCGGTCCAAAGGGCCACAAGGGTCACGAGGGGAAAGTCGACATTCGCCAAAATCGAATCTTCTACCCGGGTGAAGGTTGATTCCAACTATTTAAGCGACGGGCTATTCAGAACTCTCAAAAGTATGTGGAAAAAGTGAAAACTGAAAAAGTTTTTTTTTTCAGATTTTCAAAGGGTCAGATTTTCCGGTTTTCCAGGGGGAAAGTCGACTTTCGCCAAAATCGAATTTTTTAGCCGGGTGAACGTTGATTCCAACTATTTAAGCGACGGGCTATTCAGAACTCTCAAAAGTATGTGGAAAAAGTGAAAACTGAAAAAAAAAATTTTTCACCCGGACCCAAAGGGGTCAGATCTTGGATTTTTCCAGGGGGAAAGTCGACTTTCGCCAAAATCGAATTTTTTAGCCGGGTGAACGTTGATTCCAACTATTTAAGCGACGGGCTATTCAGAACTCTCAAAAGTATGTGGAAAAAGTGAAAACTGAAAAAGTTTTTTTTTTCAGATTTTCAAAGGGTCAGATTTTCCGGTTTTCCAGGGGGAAAGTTGACTTTTGCCAAAATCGAATTTTTTACCCGGGTGAACGTTGATCCCAACTATTTAAGCGACGGGCTATTCAGAACTCTCAAAAGTATGTGGAAAAAGTGAAAACTGAAAAAGTTTTTTTTTTCAGATTTTCAAAGGGTCAGATTTTCCGGTTTTCCAGGGGGAAAATCGATTTTCGCCAAAATCGAATTTTTTATCCGGGTGAACGTTGATTCC